AGTCGTGATTAATAACTTCTAAGTGGGATATTAAATTCATACCATAATTATGCTTCCAGATATTGTTAAAGGAATTGGATACGATAGACTGTCTCCTCGCATACAAGCGTGCCAACAACCTCATGCATGGGTTTGATTCTAAGTTACAAATGTGCTATGGAAGGCAAAATGTCTCCGAAGAAACTTGCAAGGTAAATTAATCGAAAACTTTTTGCTTCTTGAAATAAAGAAGAATACATCTAGGAAATACATACATACATTTATCTTCTTTTTCATAGCATAAGCTGGTAAACGAGCAGACGGATAACCTGATGGTTAGCAATCAGCGTCGCTCATGGACACCTGGAACACCAGAGGCGTTACAATTGTGTTACCGGCCTTTTGGGGATTAGGAGTTTGAGGATCTTTGGGGATTCAGGGATTGGGGAGATTGGGGAAGGGGAGGGTAATTGGGCCTCCGGTAACCTCACTCACACGACAAAACACAACGCAAGCGTTGCTTTATGCCAGTTTTCTGTGAGGCCGTGGTATCACTCCGGTCGAGCCGGCCCATTCGTGCCGAAGCATGGCTCTCCCACACTCGAAAACATCTTTCTTCTTACGCTCAATATTTAAACTGTTATATTGGGGGTAACGTAAACTTTAGTAATAACTATGAATATACAACCTTATATGTACTACAACCAAATACATAATTATATGATACACATAACATAACATACCATAATGCCTTTTATCCCCGAATAGGTAGGCAGAGTTGCACATTACAGCACTTCGGTAATACCACTCTCTGTACAAGGTTATCACTCACTTTTCACTGTTTTATGTTATGATTACCATGTAATAGGGGGTGAGCCTATTGCCATATATCAGGCACAATTCCGGAGTCCATGCTCCTACTGAGATTTTTTTTATACCCAGTAGTAATATTTTGTCCAACTCGGGAATCGAATCCTAGACCCCTTACTCGGAGTCGCGGAGAACCTAACGGGTTACCGGGGCTCCGCTTCAAAGTGCAGGAGAAGGAACAGGGTGGTTTTTGGTCAGTAAGAGTCTGACACTCCCTCCCGCCTCACACAGGCGGAAGCAGCCATTCGACGATTTTCTCCCATTAAAAAAATGGTTGCCTGTAAAGTCGTTTTTACGGGCGAAGATTTTACGTGACAACGTCTTTTTCTCGGTAGAATATTTATTGATATGAATATAATTAAATTGCACAATAGGAACAAGGAATTGAATGAACTAGTGCTGCGCGCGCGGCAGACCGATCATAGTTGAGTGGGAGAGAGACGCAAGGCATTCGGCGGGCCTCTCTCTCGTTCGGTGACTCATCGTAACGTTACCGAGCGTTACACTTTTTCATAAGTGACTCCCAGCCGCAACCTAATTTAAGACGTTGTCACGTCAAAAACAAATTGGGTTTTTTAAAAAAATCCCAGTAAACAAGTGAAACAAGTGAATTTATTTCTGCAAATAGTCTACAAGGCAGCACTTTTACACGACATTTCGTAACTGACTACTCTGAGAAGAAATGCCGAAACTAACCCAGAGGTACGTCTCTTTGAAAGTCCAGACCAACATGTAATAAAAGATTATGTGTGAGAACCGTGCAAGTTCTTTCTGTAGTGGCCTTTTGAGGAAAGAACCACAACATTCACCTCAATTAACATGTGAAGTTGACTGATCCGACGAAGTAGTAACACGGAGACTGGAATTGTGCCTGGTATATGACAATAGGCTCACCCTAAATAGTGAAAAGTGCGTGTTAATTTGTACAATGACATTAAGTGCCGTAATGTGCACCTTTGCCTATCCCTTCGGGGGTAAAAGGTGTAATGTTATGATGATCATTTTTATATTTAGTTTTACGTTCAATTTTATTTTCAACATTTGTGTTTCTAATTAGAGAATTGTATTATTTGTTTGAGAAATAAATGTCTTAAACTGTGAAGTAATAAAACAATCACACTTTTGAATATATTCTATTTATTAAGTCCACATTCCTTAACATGAAAATAACTATTTTTCTTTCATTCTTTACACTAGAAAATTCAAGAAATATATCTTCTACATCATTGTTTTAATTGATTTCTTTAATTGGTTCCAGCGTTTCAGCGGCAGTCCTTTGCAGTTAGACCACTACAGATGTCAGTACACAGTGATCGGTGTCACTGCCCACACCGGGACTTGTGGTAGACCCGATGTACCGGAGTTCTTCACCAAGATACGGAACTACGTGCCTTGGATAGAAAGCATCGTCTGGCCAGGAGAAGACTGAATATTTTTATCATAATATAATACCTCTAATTTAGTTGGTAAACTTTGTTTCATTTCACTAGGTCCAAAGCAAGTAGGCTGTGTGGGTTTTTCTTATGTTAACGTGATCACAACGTTATCGTATTTTTTTATAAAGAAAGAAAGAAAGAAATCACTTATTTGCTAATAATATAGGTATACATATAAGTTGGAATAAAGTTAATTGACCCAGTACATTTTACCTTTCGGCATGCAAATTAAATTATAATGCGATTTGAATGTCGTCAAATAGATAACTAGGTATACAGTCAAAATTTTAGAATAATTGTAAAAATAAAAAAATGCTAAAATGCTACGATCAAATATAAGCCATACAAAAAGAAATAATATATATAAAGCATTCAGCTAGACTATTGTGTATCTTTCAATTCAAAGTACGAAGTGTACTCGATTGCGGTCCGCACTGTCATTGGTTGTAACAATAATCTCGGCCAATGTACGTGTCATGTTCGTGAACGGGCGCCGTCAACTGGGACTGGTCAGCTCCAGACTGTATTATTTATTGTCCTTAAGGTTATATTTTCTTTTTCGATCACTTTGACTGGATTTTAGTGTTACATTGTTCTCGCACAATCCAAACAGCAAAACTATGTTACTAGAGAATTGTATTGTCAACCTGATTAAAAAAGAGTAACCTATGAAGTTACTTTCTCGTCCATAGGAATCGACACCTTGGAATGAGCAAATAGCTTGACTTTTAATTTGTTTTGTTGACATTGAAAAGTGCCTTTCTGGTCTAATTGAAATAAATTATGTTAACTTTGATTTGACTTTGACTTTAAATATTATGACATTGTATTTAGTATTTTGACATTTAATTTAAAAAATTTACATTGACTGAAATTGTATTTAGTAGTTTAGTTTAGTATATTGACAATATACGTTTTGACATATCGTCTCATTAGTAGAATAATGTTATAATATTTGCAAATTGTCGACTTTTCAGTGGAGCGATTATAAATTTCGCGCTCACATATTTGCTTATAAATCTGTTATAAATGATACTAGTTAATATTTGTACAGTATGCACAGAAGTTAGTACCGTTTATGATAATATAATTATTTATTTTATAAACTATGCCCTTTCAAGTATAATGGGTCGCATGCGCACACACAACGGTCTTTTGCCAAAAAAAATATTGAATGAGGTGTCTTAAGGATACATAAAACAATATTCGACGAAACTATTTACGATACATAATCACGAATTTTGGCGGTTGTATCCGTGTTTTATTTGAAACTGTAATACTAAGAAAGTAGAATAGGTTTTAAATTCATCATTATTACTGAGTATTTTTATATATGAAAAACGTTGGTGTTTTCTTAATCAATTTATTAGTCAATGTAGTAATCAATGTACGTGTAAATTAAAAATAAATACAAACTGATTATATACACTATGAGGAATAACCTTATAAAGATATTCATTATAAAGTTATTAAAAGAGGTGACAGAAAAACAGAATAAGCCTGCCCTGTCGTGGGCCTTTCAGGTGAGCAAGGTTAGTCGGAAAGTTCATTTCTCCATCCACTCGCTGAGGCGCCTCCAGACCCTGCTTCCGATGACGACTAAGATTCACCTCGTCCAGGCGCTGATCTTTCCTCTCATTGACTATGCAGATGCTTGCTATTTGGACGCCACAGAGGAGCTATTAAATAAACTTGAGCGTTTACAAAATGTATGTATCCGTTTCGTCTTTGGTCTTAGGAAGTTCGATCATATTTCTGAATTTCGTAACAGGCTCAAGTGGCTCCCAATCCGTCTTCGCAGGAACACTCGCATATTATGTCTCCTCTATAACATCCTGTTCAACCCAGCCTATCCTACTTATCTCCGAGACCGTTTCTCCTTGGTGCGTCCTCCTGAAGTCCTTACTCGTTCTCATCTTAAATCCTATCTTAAAATTGTGCCCCATAATACCAACTTCTACTCCTACTCCTTCTCCGTTCATGCAGTGAGACTATGGAACTCACTCCCGCCGAACATTCGGGATGCCAAGTCAATCTCTAGATTATCTTTCCTTCTGAAATATAGATCTTTTTGTTTATATTTATATAATATATATACATAATATACATATACATATGTAGGTATATTTATATAAAGGTTTTTTTTTTATTTATTTTTATATAATAGCATTGTATTAGTTTGTTTTATTGTTTATTATTGTTATTTCTATCGGTTTCTTCGTTATTATTATTATTATTTTTTTTTTATTGTTTGTGTAACACACTATGTGTCTCAGTGTTATTATATCTTTTCCTGCCACAGGCCCACAGGAAGAGATTCCAGTTGGAATAAGTGGGGCCTATGTACTCTGTTTTTATATATGTGTTGTCCTCTGTGTTGAATGTGTGTACATAAATAAATAAATAAATAAAATAAATAAATAATGCTCTTATAATTCTTACAAAATAAATACATGGCCATTCATAAGAAAAAAATATAATAGATCACTTAAAACTACCTATTGACTTATTTCTTTCTGTGGTTATTCTTATGAATAAATCAGTCATATAAAATTATAATATAAAGTTAGCTTAATAATAAAAACACAATAAATAATTATGGCACCATTGTGAATATAATAAAAAATATTAAAAATCAATAGTCTCAAACATAGAAAACAATTATGTATATCAAATATTCCGAAAACACCAAACTAAAGAACAAATAATATACTAACTACTAGTCTACTAAAGAGGAAAGATTTAAATTTTTGTTTGTTTGAATTGAATAGGCTCCGAAACTACGGAACCGATTTCAAAAATTCTTTTAGCGTTGGGATCTTACATACTGCATCCCTGATAAGAAAGAGAAGGGAACCGTGTGGAAATTTCGATAATATAACCCGATTTGTGAAAAAGCAACCATAAATATTGCTTAATCTATTGACTACTAATAGAAAACTGTAAAAGCAAATGCTTTTGTATTCTTTTGGATTCCTATCCCCAATCCTTTAAAAGAGCGCGAACGAAGCCTTGGGCAGAAGCTAGTCCATTAAAATAACGTATTCATTTCATTGAATTAGAAAATCCCTGATCCTAATGCAGTTACATAGTAGTATTAGTCCTTGAAAACCCGTAGTATTTCATTTTTAAAAACTAATTTTTAGTCCGTCGAGGTCAAATTTACCATGAAAGTTTGCCCGTCTTTTTTAGGTAATAGTATTAGAACTAGCGTCTTACCGGTACAAATCAGGCCACATTATTAATACCAAAGTAATAACCCGGAAGTCCCTGAATTACAATATGTGCTATATCTCAGGCCTCTATCTTTTAAAACACTGAACGTATTTGATTGAAATTTGGTTTACGGTTCACTGGCACTGAAACAATCACTGGTACAATCTATCGCTTAAAATACTGAACCTATTTGAGTGCAACTCTGTTGAAATATTTTGTACATTCGGACAATATACCGTCGGTGTTATTTCCCTCTAGAAACCGATTAGACCAATCTTATATGTGCACTTTCTGGCCATGACAAATTGGTTATGTGTTCGATTGGTTACAGTTATGTGACATAAAACGCACATGTCAGAAGTTGCAGCATCACATAGATAGTTTGGCAGATTGAATATCAACAGTTTTTGTTTAAAATTTTTACCGTTTTCTAAGATAAATGTGATATGTGCACTAAAATGGGAAAATAAAATTATTGGGGATGAACAGTACATGTTATCGTTTTCACTTTTATCTCAGTTATTTTTATCATAATTTTTGCCATCAAACTGCATTTTTAATTTATTGCTAAGTCCATCAACTTTTCAGTGCAAGTGTAAAAAATAGTTTATTGGCTCCCCCTGAAAACTTGACTAAATGCACATAACAGTTTTGGCAAGCGCAACGACGATACTACCGTCTAGATATCATTTCGTCGTGTTTTTTCTTAAATAATGTGATTGGATAGATGCAAATGAGTTCACATGGTCACAACCGCTAGTGGTCATGTCTTATACGATTACCCTCCTTTAATTTTTGTGGCGGTCTCTGTAATCGTCTTCTACGACAGTGCTGTTGCAGTACTTATCTCATGCAGTTTTAACTATAGTTTTGTAGCGTATTGCGTCGCTTGCTCGTTATAATATGTATAAATAAAATTGCAATTCTTTGGTGTATTCTGATTCAAACATCTGTTTTTCGTCTTGGTGGTGTACTTTATTTCATATTCCCTATTTAATCCAAATTCCAGCTCAAAGATCGTCTATTCCACTGGTACCACAAACTCATCAATTGAGCCTGAACTGCTGTTTCCTCATCGTTTGAGAAATCATCATTCAAAAATTTTATAATAAAATTAAGAATAATTTATTATTAAATTTAAGATTATGCCTATTTGCATAGGCATAATCAAGTAGCCAAGATTATCCATCAGCAACTTGCTTTACAGTATCGACTTGTTGAATCTGAGGTACCGTACTACAAGTATGTGCCCGACCCAGTTCTGGAATATGACCATATCACATTGTACTGGGACCGGTCTATCATTACTGACAGGACTATTGTAGCCAATAAACCTGACATAGTGGTGATAGACCGACAAATACGCCGCACGATGATAATCGATGTCACCATTCCCCATGTCGAGAACCTCGTGAAAGCTGAGAAAGATAAACAAATAAAATATCTAGACTTAGCTCACGAGGTCGTCGACATGTGGAATGTGGATTCGGCTATCATTGTGCCGAAAATCGTGTCGGCCAATGGGTTAATCCCTAAAAGCCTCGACATCCATCTTAGGAGGCTGGCGTTAGGTGGATGGATAAAGGCCTTATACAGAAAGCAGTTCTCCTAGAAACGGCACGTATCGTGAGGAGGTTTCTGTCTCTGGAGCCCTAACCACCGGTAGCTTGGACCATGCTCCCGCTACTGGTCGGCTCCTATTTTTTATATTTTTAAATATTATTTTTATTTTATAAGTAGTGTTTAAAAATGTAATTTATAGAGAATTTTAAATAAATAT